TATTATATCAAAATAAACAACAGAAGCCTTAAACAGAGTTAATACAAGCTGAATGGTGCCGTGGGTTTGTGACGTGACGGAAGTTCAGAGGAAATTATGTTGTATATTGGTATGGTCAACACTCTTGAACGCCTGTTGACTCAACAGGCATGAAGTTAAGCCATAACAAAAAAACTGAGTTAATTAATAACATAGCACAGACTATAGCACTGGTAACTCGGACACAATTTTTTTTTTTGTGAAACGTGCCATCTATCCATCATTTTGGGAACTTTTTATCAATTTTACCATTTTAACGCGTGGCATTTAGGAGAAAAATTATCAACTTTATTTTTTATAATGAAGTAGTTAATCTTTTATTAGCTTCTTACAAGTCGGTCGAATCAGTACATTTGATATTACGTGAACTAAACGTGGACCATATCTATATGTAGGCACTGAAATTCATTTTTTGGCGGCTAGATATCGCTCAACGTTAAGAAACTACGAAACTGATAATTGTAGATATCAGTCCGGTTACATACTAATTACTTATTACTTACTATTCATTAGAGTTTCTTTTTTTCCTGGAAAGATTTTATTTCCAGAGGCCGCTATTATGATTTGGAAAACCTAATTAGGACATTTGAAGACGCTAACGAATTCTCTTAACTATGATTTTGTCATTGTTCTTTGCACCTTTAGTGTTTTATAAGCAATTTTGATGTATTATTTATTGTTGCTTTATTATACCAAGGGTATAATAAAGTATTATTGTTTTAGTTCTCTATTTTCTATAATATTTTAATTCAATTTTTGTACGTTTTGGCTTCTGTGCTACAGAGGACAATTTTATTTGTTGAAAGATATTTTTATTTGTCAATAGGCGCTCTCTATTTTTAATTTTTTTTCGATGACTTTGTTAATTTTAATAAAAAAAAAATTAAAAATTAAAATAATTAGTAAAAATAGCACGCGATAATATAAATGTAACACAACAGCGTTTACCGTTCGTATCGTATCATAGTTTAATTTTTTAATTTAATTTAATTAATTTAAATCTTCAGCTTATTGTGAAATCCTCGAAAAATGCCCGTTATATGTATAGTTGCAACTTATACAAACAATACTTTAGAGGCTTGTAAAAGCCTTCAGAAGCTTATAGATGAAATTAATTCAGATGAAGTCAGAATTTTGTTTTTTATATACATACTTATTTATTATTAATTGTGTTTTAAACGAATGTACCTGTATTTATCTAGATCTTTGTTACAGAAAGAGACGGCTGTGCTGCTTGCGTTGCTCCTTTGCCGCTGCTCCCGCCTCCAGCCCCGGCGCCTCATTAACCAAAATCATCATTGTATAATAAAAATACCAACCAAACAAAACTTGATGTAAAAAGTTTAGCACAAAGAAGCAATAAATTGTAATAGTACACGTATGATACCAATAGATGGCGCTATGGTGCTCGTCTGAAGTTCAGATTTGGTGTTGTCATATTACATCATTAAAGCGTTAACTACACGGCAAGACTTTGATATTAAGGGACCATTTGTTAGCGAACATTGTCGCAGAGTTAGGGCCAACATATTCGCAATGAATACTTGTATTAGCCAACATGTCATCTTTTAACGATAAGGGTTGGTGTCTTGTTCGTTTCGCTAACGAATGGCGTTTAGGATTATGCAAAATGTTTACGTTTCTGACACATAATCTGCTTTATATGGTTAAGTGAAATAAATAAATTAATCGGTCTTTGTAGATAACATTAGTATCATTATAACTAAAAACAGGTTTAAAATCAATTTCCTCATGTTATTCAATGATGTAATAGTGGAAATGTAGATTTCATCGTCAATTTGATGTTTTTTTCAAAGCTATTATTAAGTTACGCAGATTTTTCAATAAATCTAGTTGTAATCTAGTCTTGTATTCTAGTCGCTTTTATTACTTATAGGTATTGTAAATATTAGATACTAAAACTTTTTCAAAATAAAAAAATATTGCGCTGGGCTGTTATACCCCCAAAAATTTATTTATCACTTGTCACTTTATGCACCAGCACAAAACTAGCAAGAGCAGAATACATGATTGCTGACCGTAGAAGATTTTTTCAAAGGCAATGTGAGCAGTTTCAATTAGATTGCAATATAAATTAAACTTTACGTAGACTTCAGCCGTTAATACATATCATAATCTTAGTGATGTAGGCAGAAGGGTGAATTCTGTTGCACACAATATTCTTGTCTAATTGGAACAGGTACAAAATAAAATTATTTTAACGGAATTAATCATTCCTATATAAATAGGTGCACATTAAAAGTAATAGGTACGGTGAAGAGCACTTTAGGCTAGCCACTTGCAACTTTGGACCGTTCTTATTGCAAGCGGCACAGAGTATTCTCTTATAATGTATATTTAGATGGATATACATTAGTAACCGGTCGAGATTGAAAAAATTGCGAGTCCAAAATGAGTATTCTTCTTTAACTTTCTTAACACGATATTTGTGCGCAACGTAATTGACGCTTTTAATTGAGTAAATAATGTAATTATGTATTTAAAATATATTAGAAACCTGAAAATAAATGAAACACTTCAAAAATAATTTGGTTTTGTTTTTTTTTGTAGTCCATCTTTTAATTTAATTTCATTTGTTAGTTTCATTTATCTGCCTTTACGCCGTTGAATTAATGTGAAAACAAAAAAGAAAATCTATCATTAAAAATAATAATCAATATTTCACTTAAAAACTTGAGGGTTATTGGTATTACTGAATCTATTTACAGGCACCACTAATAGCAGCCATTGGTTAAGCCGGTTTTTGCGAAAAGCTATTTTTTTCTAAGGAAGAAGCTTAGTACTTCACCGACATAATATTTAAATTGGTTTGACATTACGTCTACCAGCGTGTTGGTAGGGACGTGAAGTTCATATTTGGACGTATATTTTTTAGTATGGCAATTCCGGCACAGAGCTGTCAGTGTCAATTAAATGTCAAATTGATTTGTCTATGCCTTTTCCTGTCTAATTTTGTCCTGAAAGGTTGGTTTCGTGTTTGATAAAATCTGTTTTAATCTTGAAAACTATTGAAAACTGAATAAACTCCAATCATGGTGTCTGAAATAAAAGTGCATTCTCTATCGTTATGTGTTGATTTTCGTGAATATGTGAGAAATTGGGGATGAGACAAATGGATAACCTAACTGTGTTTGTAATGAAGCCGCATCTGTGTTTCAGAAGCAAAAATGGGTCGTTACTCTCGGGAACCGGATAACCCAGCTAAGTCATGCAAAGCGCGTGGCTCGAACCTTCGTGTTCATTTCAAGGTTGGTGTTTTACTCCCATTTTAGTGATATAAACAAAGTTTAAAACGTCTCGCATGTACATTTTGGTTATGGGTTATGTTGTGATTTTCAGAACACATATGAAACTGCTATGGCGATAAGGAAGTTGCCTCTGCGTCGAGCTGTACGTTACTTGAAGAATGTGACAGAGCAGAAGGAGTGCATTCCCTTCCGTCGGTTTAACGGAGGCGTTGGGCGGTGCGCGCAAGCCAAACAGTTCGGAACCACTCAGGGTCGCTGGCCGAAGAAATCGGCAGAATTCCTGCTGCAACTGCTAAGGAACGCTGAGTCAAATGCTGACTACAAGGGCCTGGATGTTGACAGGCTTGTCATTGATCATATTCAGGTTAGTTTTATGAATTGTTTTTGTTGTATTGTGAAAACTGCAGTGAGAAGAATAACTTACAATGAGAAATAGTTGATTGATCTTCATTGTTGTTTAAAGTAAATAATACGTAGGTTACCCTCATACATCATTACATACTAGTAAAGTTGATGTATATTATTAGAGAGAAATAATGTGATATGACTTTTTTGTAAGATCGTTACCATTTAACCGATGAGCATGTGTGAAAGCATTGATTCATGCTGATGGGGCTTATGTTTCTTTTGAAGTGTGTGACAATACACATTAAACCTCCTTTAACATTAGTAGAGTAAAGTTTCACATATGCAATGAAGTTACAATTTACGTATGCCTTATTCCAGTGTGACCATGTTCAAGTTTTTAAAATTTAAGTATCTAGAAAAGTCTCTATTTAGTCGGTTCTAGTTGCACAAAAACTAAATTTACTTGGTCTGCTGTTCAAAAGTTACAAGGGTGTTTTACTGTCCACGCTGGAATAAGCTTATTCCAGTGGCATCATTTCTCAATCGCGAGAACCACAACACCTAGCTTAGGTCTGATTACACATAAAAGTTGAGAGTTTAGTCGGTTCTACTTGTAAAAAACTATATTTAGTTGTTAAGCTGTTTTGAATATATTAAGGTGTTTTACTGTCCATGCTGAAATAAGCGTATTCCGGTGGCACCCCTCTTCAATCTTGAGAACCACAGCTCCTAGCGTAGATCTGATTGCACCCAGAAAAAGTTGTGAATTAGTCGGTTCTAGTCACAAAATTTTAGAATTAGTCGCTTCTTTGCTTAGAAGATACAACAAATTTACTATTTTAAGATTATACCTGTGTGAGGGTCGTATTCTGGAACTCGACTCAATGCTCAAGTTAGGATTTGAGTATGGTTTAAAGCACTCGAAATCATACTCAAGTCCCTGCCATTAGGGTCGTATTTCCAGTGCTTGTGTTTCCATTGCAATTCTGACTTGAGCATTGAGTAGAGTTCTAGAATACGAGCCTTAGTCTCGGAGCTCACGTACAAATTTTGCATATCTAATACACAGAATTTGTTGTTCATTTTTTTGAAATGCACAATATTTGAAGGTGTTAGTAATGTTTAGTGTTTAATATTTATTTGTCATGATATTTATTAGTGTATGTATGTTGTATTATGCTCCTGGCTTACACGAGACGAGTGAAATTTATGTAATGAAGGTTGACTTTGACAAAGCAAAGGTGATGAGCTAAGCAAGTGATTAGTATTTTTTTTTCACTTCCATCGATTTGTTACAAAACAAACTTAAATAAATAAATAAATAATGCACACACTCATAGCTCACACTTGAAAATCCCTTAAAAAATGTTGCGGGTGCCATGGACACACACACGCACATGTGTCTATGTGTGTGTGTGTGTCCATGGCACCCGCACCGCAAATTACACCCAAACTACTTACTTATTTTACTTTATTATTACAAATACATATTTCTCCCGGCCCGGGAATCGAACCTCTCTGTCGCAGACTAGCATGGTAATCGTCAGGCCACAGAGGCAACTTGTAAGTTTAAGCACGGAATAAAATAAAATTATTTATTTATTTATTAGGCACATAAACAGTTACTACAATATTTCATGTAGATATTAAATACATACAAAAACTTAGTATAATTGCATAACTATAATCCTATTCACATAGGATGGGTACTATGACAATTCAAATTTTTATGTTGCATGCATACTGTTTTTAATTACTCTCATAATAAGGTTACAAAAAGAAATAGTAAATTTATTGTAATATATCAAAAACTTCGTTTGTTTGAATTGTAAATTTAAGTAAAAGTTACACTATATTATAAAGTAGATAGAAACTGAAATGGTAAAGATAAAAATAAATTACCCCAACTACTCATCGAGCGTAAACAAGAATATTTTACCCATAGAGATTTATGCCATGGAATCAATCAATCGAATCAGTTATTGTGTATCTCGAATCAATATGTGTGGATATACCTCTTGTACGCATGTCGTTTTCTTTTGTTTGGATCTTTGTGTGTTGTTTTTGGGGTAATTGTTCAAATTTGTTTCATTGCTGTACATTTTTTGCTGACTTTTTGTTTGGCTAGTGTTGATTTTATTATTTGTTTTGTAATTTAATAACATAATAATTGTATCCTTTTTAGTTTGTTATTCATTGTTCTTAAACTATAGTCTTTAAACAGATTCTCTATACATTACAAACTGTCTCGATAACATATTAAATATTTTATTCTTTTCTTTCAATTTTACATTACCACATCTTTAGAAACTTAATTATTTTATTATTCATACTAATTGACTGCGCGCGTATTGCGGGATGCGAAAGGCGCCCCCCATACCTCGCCTTCTAAATTCTAGGCTCGCGTTGAAATGCCTCGCCTTAAACTATACTTACTAACTTAGTAATCTTAATGCTCCTTTGCCTGTGTACTGATTGCTGAATTGAAAGTGAATTAATTATCTGAAACTGATCAAATAAGCGTAAGATAGCTATGATAGAGGTAGCTAATAAGCGTAAGATAGCTATGATAGAGGTAGCTAATAAGCGTAAGATAGCTATGATAGAGGTAGCTAATAAGCTACTTTGAAAGATCTTATTGTGTGAGTGAAGATAAGTTTGTGTTAAAAGTTTGTCAGGATCTGGAAGTAGAGATTTGTAGCCTCTGCCCTTCCCTATTGTGAAATCGGTACTGCTGTATTTCATCTAATAGGCAAAATAAAAATTATATGCCTTTCTTGCTTGACAGGGTGTATGAATTTGTTGCACTTTCTGTTTTCTGAAGGCATAAATTATTAGTGACTATTACTGTATCTAGAGACAATATCATATTGGTTTCTGACTAATTGTCACTTACAACTCTGGTTTCTTTTTCTTAAAGAATTCTTCAATGTGAACTCTAAGAGTCATAAAATTTTAATTGTTTATTTATTTCTCCTGTATTTATGAGGTGTTATCTAGTAAAGTTCCCTGCATACGAGATACTTTGTATCACAAACGAGGAATATTGCTTAACTTTGATTTCTACATTTGGTTTCTAAAAGTGATAAAACCTGGTGACCGTCAAGATGGGTGGTCGCCTGTCGCATCTGGCATTGAGTGTATATTCAAGAATTGTTACCTATTTGCTACCTTTTCTAAATAATTGCTGCCTTTGATATATTTTGAGAAATTAAAAAGAAATGACCAGCAATTGTGATATCAGGACGGCTGGTCGCCACTTTGTCCAGCATGAAGGGAGCAGATTTTCTATAAGTATGTATGATGATGACCCATCACAGTCAGCCTGTGATGTCATCTGTGACCGAAGTAAAAAAAATTAAAGGCAAATTTGATATATCTTTGACCATCTTAAGGTCATGTGATTATTTTATCCAATGAATAGTCGGTGTCCCGTTCATAATAAAATTTAGCATTTTCTGAACAAATCTTAGTAATAAATAAGTCAAAAAAAGAACTTCTTTGAGAAGTCACTATTCCTGACAAACAACAAAATAGAAGTGATTAGATCCAAAATAGTACATTGTGTATAATATTATATATTAATATTAAGGGCGGTAAATAAGGTATTACAAACGAGACTACTACAAGCCGTAGCTCACATACAATGTTCTTCGTCACACTTGCACATAATTATTATGATTGCATGCAGGCTAACTTGCCTATAATGCCCCAAATAAAGCCCCCGGGCCTTTTTTTTTTGCCTGCATGCAATCGTGCTATTTACATACATGAGTGATGAAAAAAGTTTCATTTTATTAAACATGTAACATTATCTATATTTATCATACTTGTTTCATTTCAGGTAAACCGCGCCCCCTGCCTTCGTAGACGTACGTACCGTGCCCACGGTCGTATCAACCCATACATGTCTTCTCCCTGCCACATCGAGGTCTGCCTCAGTGAGCGCGAGGACGCCGTGGCCCGCGCCGCACCTGCCGACGACGCGCCCGCTAAGAAGAAGCTGTCCAAGAAGAAGTTGGCGCGCCAGAAGGAAAAGATGATGAGAGAATAGACAATTAAGGGTTAATAAACAACTTACCACAACTTCGTTTCTTTTATTCAAATACTTGTATGGCCATTCAATCTAACCAGTGGGCTTATGACTGGGAAAGGTACACGGTTTGTTAATAATTAAGTAATGGTCAAATCAAATCAAATCAAATCATTTATTTCTTTGTGATACACAGG